TTTTAGCCTTTCGTTTTTTTCAAAACCGACTAAAGTTATCTGTTCAAAATTTCGGAAATTTGTTAAGGAAACTTGAACATAATACAAAGGTGACTTTTGAAAGATACGATATTTTAGCCTAATATTATCATTAAGAAAATGAATAAGAAAAGACGTATCTACACAAATTGGTTTAAGTTCTTTATTTAAAACATATTATTTAAGTAGGTACGAAAAATATAAGAAAAGCTTGTTACTCCATGCATTTCGGTGTTGCTAGGCTTCATCACTGTAATCTTCATTTATCGTTTCAGCAGTTCCGGAACATGTAGGTAAATTTTCCCAAAACTCTTTTCTGTTCTGAGGCATAATTGGGCAAAGTTTATTCAAAATTTGGGTTTTTCTCTCTTTAGTTATTCTTCGAGGGCACTGCTTTGAGCCTGGTTTTGAAATACCCTGTTTTGTTAATTTCGCATTCAAAAAATTCAACTCTCTGCCTTTTTCAGTGAAAGATGATTTGTAAATTAAGGTTTTCTGTTTTTTGCGCTTCTGACAGACGATACAAAATTCTGGAAGTCATAAACCTTTCCAGCTCGTTTCAAGGATTTTTCAACATTGCAACAATGCTTTGCACACTTTTGTTTTGCCCCATTTTGAGAAAGTAAACAACAATCTTAGATCTTCTAGATCCGCTTGGATTACCACGAAATTTCTTTTTTCCGCAGGCTGCATTTTCCAAAATTCCTTATTATATCAATTCTTTTTCTTTCACTTATCTTGTTAATACATTTTATTTTACATATTTTAGTGCACTTTTGCTTCAAACCGTGGCCCTTTACTTTCTTTTCCAGTTTAATACGCTTCCTTTCTGATGCACTTGTATCATATCTCTTCCTCTTTCTTTTTTAGTGTATGTTTTTGAATTAGATATTTGCAATACATTAGTCAAAATGCCAGTTAAAATGTCGTATATGAACGTTGTAACATCTTCCTAATTAGCTATGATATTGTCTATGTCCGAATAATTGTCATTAGACGAAGAACCTTCTGCATTTTTCACAATAATATTGGAAAATATGTTTATTTTTTTCTTAGCCTGGTTTGTTGAATTTTTAGCATCAAGACTTTCAGTTATATTCACATCCTCAACTAAATTAGTTAAAGATACATTTGGCTCTGGCACAGCATGCGAATTGTCCATGTCTCCATATCTGTTAAATTAATATTGCCTTCAGTATCATTATTCATTGTTTCCTCTAGAGAATCTTCATCAGAGGCATCAGACGGCATATAATCAGCATCGTCTTCTTTTTTGAAGCGTTTCTTGTTATAATTTTGTCTAAGATTTGAGATTTTCTTCCTTTGTTGACGATTCAAGGAAACCATCGCCAACATTTTAAAACCTCTACTATTCCTGTTCATCCTGGCTGTAATTATAACAATTATTGTTGAAATTTATCCATAAATTAAAGGCACATACCAGTCGATTGATATAACTCGAATTTTTCAATAACAGCAAAAAATAACGCAAGTTCACCAGAAACAACAACACTCAACGGACTCAACAATAAAAATGTGGGGTTAACGTTTTAAAAATTGAGGTTATGTTATTCTATGTGTTAAGTGAAAAAGTCGTATCTGCATTTTATTCCGTCAGTTACGACGTTTGGAGCTAACAAGTGTAGATTCGACATTAATGCTTAACAATTCGTCCTATTTTGCAGATACGACTTTCCTATTTCATACACACTAAGCTATACTAAAAGCAGATTTGACTTATGGCTCTAATAGTATAAGACAAAATGTTTATATGATTGTGACAGCAAAAACCTGAAAAGTGTAAAAAAATGTAGATACGACTTTTATGCTTAACAGGGCAGTACAGACGGTATACAAAGATAAAAGATGGCTTTAATTTTAAAATTTAAATTAAATAAGATTGAAATTGAAGTAGAGGAAAGTGACGAAATTATTCAACAATTAAAATATAGAAAATATAAATAGATTAATTAAAATAGCACAAGTAAAATTTGTTGTAATTTTTAGACAATATATTTAGGTACATTAAATATTAATATAAAATAATTAAACTGTTTTTACTCTCAGGAAAAATCGCGTGGTTTACACACACCTGAGTAATTGAAATAATATAAAATTGTTACTTCAACTCACTGCCCACTTTCAAAACAGAATGGATTTTCCATTTTCGCGCCAACATATACTATATCTGGTGGGGGATAGACGAACATGATCAAACAACATAATCCGTTTATGTCGCGAAAAATACCTTAATATTTAATTCTATTCCAATTATTAAGTTATTCTTCAGTTAACTCGCCACTGGGCTTCTTGCCTTTTGCGCTACGCAACTGTCTAGAGGTGGTTACTCGTTTATTAATGAATAACGTATATCTCTAATGTAGCGACTTTACTATCAAATCAATAAAACGGAATATTCGAGGAGTAACATGCGTTACCTAACCAAACAAATAATAAAGATAATAAATGTTTATAGGGGTACTAGGATAATTGCTTGCCTGTTAAAAAGGTGTGTCCACGTAAGATGGCTACAAATGGAAAACTGTTATTATTAGTTTTATAAAAAAAATTATTCTTCATAAAAAATTGTGCATGGTCTAAACTAAACCCTAAAATATAACCATCAAATTTTATGAGTCGTATACGAGGTTGTTCAATTGTACATTCATTTTTGACAAACCTCTATACGACTCATAAAATTTGATAACTGATGATTGTATTTTAGGTTTTAGATCGTGCACAATTTTTTATGAAGAACATTTTTTTCTTAAATTAATAATAAAAAAGTTATTCTTCATAAAAAATTCCTCACGACAGTATACGAGCTTTGTTTATCTTTATAGGACTCAAAAAAATTAATATCTGATGGTTAAATTTTATGTTTTATACTATGCAGAACTTTTTAGAAAGAGAACATTTGTGACAAAACCAGTATTAAAAAGTTTTCCATATGTAGCTAACTTACGTATAATTCATTCACTTTTATTTTCATATTAAACTGGATAAGCAAATCCATATAAACGGAACGTACGTCCTTTTATCCAATTATAGCAACGACGAATATTTTACTGGTTATGACGTAGAGATAGAAACCCAGAGGACGCAGGTTCGATTCCTGCTGGGAGCGGATTTAAAAAAAAACAATTAATTTTTCTCTGGTTTGTTCCCCTCGGGATTCTGGAATTTATTCCAGAACTTCTTACATTTATTCCAGAGCTTCTTTCATTTATAAATTATAAGAAATTTTATTTTATATAGTGACTAGGGGCATTTCCACAACTTTAATACATCGGATCAAATAATGGAGAGAGTTGTGCGAGTGAATTAGTTCCACTAATTTTAATGTTAACCTACTAATGTATCAAAAAGTGCTTGTTAGTAATTTTAATCCTTTACTTTAAAAAAGTTATTTTATATATTGCTAATTTCATTTACAAAACATAGAGAGACATTTATTGATCCTAAAAAACTAAGAAAACATTATTGACTTTTTTAATTATATTCTTCTTTTTTAATTTAGGACATGTTTGGTGATCGTGGCGGGAAATAAAACAGATAGAAATCGTTAAAATTGGAATAATAAAGATTGTAAAAATGGTGAGCGAAAAAATTATCGAAAGTCAATAGATTGACGGGATAAATGATCGAATTGAATTGATAGAAATTATAAATAATCTAAAGCACAAAAACATCGAAAGCCCAGATGATTGAATATTTAATTGATCTAAATTAAGAAATGCCGATCAATTAGTCAAAAGTTCAAATGATCGAACATGCAATTAATCGGAACGTAAAAAAGATCGAAAAAATCGAAAAGAACAAAAAAATAGATAATTCGTGTTGCGATCTTTCATTTTTGATTTTATCACAATTTTAACGTAAAGCAACTCTATATTGTTGCTATGTGTTTTCAAACTTAATAGCTTAAAAACAACAATCCTGACACTAAAAAACTGACATGAACTGAGATTTTAAAGTTCTTGATAGTATTATCACAGTAGTAAGATTCTAATTGAAAAAAAATAACTAATTTACCTAACCTGTGCGGCCTGAAGCCATAGCGGGTTTCTTTGCAGAAAAAATATAGATAAAATAATAAAAATTTAAAGAAAAAAAAAATAACAATTTTACTAATTTTGTAATAATAAATTGCTTTCAATCTTATATCATTTCAATTATTAGTACTTTTAATCATATGTGATTTCGATCTTTTGTAATTTCTATCATATGCGATTTCTATAATTTCCAATTTCGATCTTTTGTAATTTCTATCATATGCGATTTCTATAATTTCCAATTTCGATCCTTTCTCACTTTCGAACTTTTGACATTCGATCATTTTTCCGCTCACCGTAAGGTCTCTTTTAAGCACGCGTTTTATGTCGCTTGTCGCAGGGCAATAAAAATGGCGGCGTTTTTAGATGAAACAAAAATGAAACAAGTTCCAACGTTTCTTGTCGCGTACCGCTCTTAAATTTGATTAGTGCACATCAAACCACAACGCCAGTGTAAAATAAGCCATGTGTTATATATTTCGTACACAATCATATCATCATACGTACTGTTCTGATGTTGAATCCCACAAACATGGTTTTCCTTTTTTTCACTACATCGATAATAATTTCAGAAACGAGATTTTCCATAGTTCTTCACACATAGCCACAACTCTGCATACTGGCAAAATAATGAGGCTTAGGCAACAAAATAATTCGGCAGCAGTAATATTAAATGCGTTGCATAAAAGCAGCAATTGAAATTAACGTAATTTTGACACGCCTGTTGCGATGCGTTGCGTTTCGTAACACCAGGCGATAGGATTTGAGAACGCAACGACACAGGCGGAGAGCAGCTGATCGACGTCGATGCATAAAAGCACACATAAGAAGCAATGTGCTTAGACAACGCTGCAATTTTTATGGCCCCGGTGTAAGCCACAAAAAACGCGTGCATAAAAGAATCTCAAAAATACATTGCATCTTTCCTGCGTTCAAAGTTGCTTGGATTATTGTAAATCGATTGTATGTAATGAAGAAAACTGATACTTATTAGAAAGTTTCTCGCGTGGATCTCTGGAGCATACAATATTCGTCCTGTAACCTTTTCTCTTCGGCCTTACGCTTTATCTGATCACCGTAGAAACCAAAATCAGGAATATTCTTTTTCACCGCTATACCCGAAATTCGACTGAAACACAGCTCAGACGGGGTTCGTCCATCAGTATTCTGACTGAACATACTCAGTTCGCGTTGGGATTGTTTAGTCGTATATGTGATTGTCTCTTGAGGTAAGGGGCACACCGGTTTGATGGTATCGATTATGCTTTTCGGATCCGATAAAAATCTGGGTCTCGTTTGATCACTTCTGTTCCTCTTCGATTTGATTTTCATTTTAATTAATTTCTCTTCCGGCAAGTTTTTCAAAAGATTTTCGTAGAAACCGAAATCTCCGATGATTTTCGATATTGTGGGTATGTTGCTTGCGGTGGATCTATGGCCGAAATTGTTAAATAAGTCATGTTAAAAAGATACTAGCTTAACGTAGTAGTACCTAAGTAAATGAAAGATACGCTTACAATGGAATACGCTACTGAGCTAGTCTCAAAATAATGGCAACATGGCAATACACAAAAGCATGATGTAAATAAAAAGGTGTATAACAGACACAGAAGTTTGAAAGGCCTTTCGCAGTTCTCCCACTTCATACACAGGATTCGACAGTTTTGCCGCGAAGCTAACCGAAGTGAATGCCAAAGATTGGCATAGAAAATTACGCGAAGTTATTGGTAACAACTTCGCGTAAAAACTTTAATAAATTGTGAATGGCTGTCGAAATTTTGTAGAATTATGATTTGGGATGTTATTACTTATTTAAATACTTATTTATAGCCCATGAATAGATACGATTGTCCGATTCTACCGGTATTAATTTAAAATGTATTATTTTTTTCCTATGCTACGACACTGATAAATCTGTATCTGTATCTGTAACGTGTGGATGGTGGGTTACCCCCTCGGCACTTAGGCCCATTGTGCATCCTCCTAGCTCGTCAGCGAGCCTACAGATTTAATGTAGTTGACAACGTCGCCAAGAGGTGCTTCTCTTATATCGGCTGGTGTTAGCCGATACTCGCCGAACACAAATCTTCTAATAAATGAGAGCGTCGGGCAATCGTAAAGGATATGCTCGATGGTCTCATCTTCTTGTTCGCACCCTCTGCAGAGTACGGATTCTGACAGCCCCATGATATGGAGATGCTTCCGTACTTGGCAATGACCAGTCAGAATGCCTGTGACTAGACGCAGATTCTGTCTAGTCATAGTCAAGTATTTGTTTGCTGCAGTGTTGTCAGGATAACTTAAGAGCTCACTGGCAACTCTGCAGTTTCTTGTTTCATCCCATCTTTCCTTAAATTTCACAAGGGAATGTTTTTTAATTAGGCCTGTCACTACCGATTTTGTCAGGCCAATAGAAGGGCCAGGTCCAAAAAGTATTTGGTTGGCTGCTTTCTTGGCTAGTGAATCGGCACGACGGTTACCTTTCGATGTGGCGTGACCTTTGATCCATCTTAAGGTGACCACATTGTTGATGGATACTTCGACACTGATGAATAAACAGAGCGAAATTCTCGAAGTCGTAGGACGGGGTTTCAGATTTATCAATCTCTCTACCCATCACAAGCAAGCTTTTCCAACTTCTGTCCCTACTTTATTATACACCATCATTGTTACGTAAATTATTTCAGTTATTTTTTAACCGAACTTTTAATAAAAACAAACCATTCTGTCAATGAATTTGACATACACGTTTTTACTGTTTTTAGTTTTTTTTATTCAAAAACAAAACAGACAATATTTTGTTCAATGTTGTTTATGTTCAGTTATCGAAGTAAAAAAAAATAAAAAACAGTATAGCTACAATTTGTATTATTAATTCATAAAGTTAACAAAAGGACACGCCCGACAAGCTCGGAACTCTAGATTAGAATGTCCCAGTGAAGTGAAGAGAGGTAGAATGATAACTGTCATACTGTCAATGAAAAAGTATAGACACTATTACCAAAGTATATTAATCATTGAGTAGCGACAGCTGGGGAACCGAATTCTAGTGCGCCGACGCGAAATAGAGAGGCGAGACGTCATCTAAAGATGTAATCAACGCCTTTCACTTTAGTCGGGCAGCTGATATAGGAATTCGTTGTTGTGGATTTATTAGTGATCTTTTATTGTGTTTTTGTTAAGATTTTTTGGGGTTTTGTGGGTTTTTCATTATGCCAGGAAATGCATGTACTTATCGACCTTGCTCGACAAGGTCTGGTTAAAAAATAACTGTTTTCATTTCCAGAAGAATATGAGAGGTAAGTACCTTGAACTACACACTATATTTGATATTTATCAAATAATAATCTTATTTTTATTGGAACTTATTTGTGAAAATTTGATGTGATAAGGCCTATTTCGTATATTTCCTATAAAATCTAGAGGATATACAGCATATGTACCAGGTATAACAATTATTATAAATGGGTTTTTCGAGGGTTTCTTGTTTAGAAAAGGGTTCGTTTTATACCTGTCATCAGATTTGACACTGACTTCCGTATTGTTGTATGAATAACTTGTCAAATCAGATACCTCTGTAAAACACTTTAAACGTGAATTAAAAGTTTTGAGTAACGGGGCGCATTATTAGTCAAAAATTGTATTCAGCGACATGTTTAAACAAAGTGAAATTGTAAAGTTTGAGACAACTCGATTAATAAATAAGAAGGTCCATAAGTAATAATTTCTATTGTTATCAAAAATCAAAACCCTGTGCACCTACCAACTTTCAAGTATCTAGCTCACCGGACGTAGGTAAAAAAATTGAAATTTATCAATAGTAGTTATATATATGTTTATATTTACTACATAAGTTAAATACTCATAAATATAAAACTGCCTAATAACCACACCTTTATTATAAATGTAAACTACAAAAGAGTTTTACTTCAAATTACGTCGAGCAGTGTAAACATCACATTCAAGACCAGTTCATAATTCGAGCAGTGTTTTACTGTGTCCTTCCGTCAATAACGTCAAAAAAGAGAAAGAAAATTTGCACCACTCAAGATCAAAGGTACCGATGCTTTATGTCGCTACTCAATGGTTAATATACTTTGCTATTACCGCGTTTGAATATCTACATCGGATGCATCTGAGATGTGAATTTTTTATCACGTGATAGAGAATTGGATCTGAATGTAGATGTAATAAAAAACGCTCTAGACTTTATTGGTCACGTGATAAAATAACAATGACAAGTTAGAAGTTTATACTTTTTAAATTTGACTTTTGAGGCTACAAATAAACCTAAATTTGAAATATAAATTGACAAACTTTGGCTTCACAGAACACTTACTTTCCGGCATGGAACGAACGTCTCATTCACATCTCATTTCAAATCGAGATGTAAAAAATGTAATCTGGACAGGTATTCTCGGATAAACAAACGCAGATGTGTCCGATGTGGATAAACAAACGCTCGAGATGTAATAAATGCATCGGATGTGGATATTCAAACGCGGCATATGCACAATTTCGTTTTGCACATTTTGTAAACAATATTCAGGGACGGTTTAACAACATTTTATGCAACAATTATGAAATAGTATAATTTAATACTAAATTGAAATCAAAGCACACAAAAATCACAAATATAAGCAAGATAACAAAAAATTAACCTCAAAAAAGCTTACAACAGTCACAACACAACCAAAAAAATAGAGCTGAACATGAACTTAATCGCTGTACAAAGCCAAGCCTGGAAGAATTTGTTTACAGTGCATTAGGGCAACCTCTACTTGTCATTTACGTGTGTAAGAGCGGAAGGTTAAATCATGCATAATTTCTAAACTCTTGATCGTGATGGATACGCAGACGGTACCTTATCATTCTACCCTCTCTACTTTTTTGGAATGCCACCGCGCTCTGTCACTTGTCTCTACCTTGACCGAATCTAAATACTGTACCTAAATTCACGATGTTACCAGACTATACCAGACTACTGTTTGCAGGTCATAAAAAGTAGGTTAAGAAAAAATATATATATAATAACAGAACGATTATATATCCTAAGTTGATTCTTTTTTTAACTGTATATAGAAGTAATTAAATAAAACAACGTTTTCAAAAAACTCAAAAATAAGAAACTTACATTAATTTTTTCCAAAATGTATCCAATACGGTCCTGTCTAAATTAAGTAATTGTGGAAAACTTTGGTCGAAAAATGTTGATCACATTCATTGTTATAAAAAAACATTTACAAAACTAAATTTGGTGAGTGAAATCTTCAAGTTGTAGTACTTGAACACGTTGAACGTGGAAGAGATACGTGATCCATAAAAAAAGGAAAAAACAAAAAATCGAAAACACGAAAAACGAAAAACATAAACAGGCTTATTAATTAGCTTAACTTTTCATACACAAGTCCAGTCCTGGATTTACAATTTTTGAATTCTGTACCTTTCTTATTTTTGAGTTTTTTGAAAAAGATGTTAATTTTAACGACTTCTATACTGTGACGATAGTCTAATTTATTTATAGTTTATTTATTTAAAACACACTATTTACAATTTATTTAAGACGCTCTAATTAATTTATATAATACTAACTACACTAACTAACAATTCTAATTTATTTATTAAACTTTAACTTTTCATTACAATGCTCTATACTAAACTGTCTATAATCAACTGACTTCAGTCTTAGTACTCGCGATATTTATATCAAGCCAACTCTGTGGCCAGAATACTCTAGACGGTGTGGAATATCCTAGACTTCCATCTATATGACTCAACGTCACGTACCTACCGCTTGTTCTGGTATATTCGAGAAGCGTTTGATTGTCTCTATATTGCCAGCGCGCCGCTAGACTCTATACCGCGGGAGTAAACAACAGACAGGGTAGGCTTTCGCGCGACAATACATAGTTGAAAAAGTACCAACTTAGTATTGGCTTTAAACAAAGCTTATGTTAAACGCCACCTGTTGCCTATTTATTTATTTTGTTTATCTGAGTATTAGAGAGGCGAAGGGAGAAAAATGACATGTGACAGTTGAGGATATGATAGAGATAGATCCGCCAATAATACAAAATCAGAATGGTAAAATGGTTTGGTTTTTCCAATACGACGTATTGTCTAAAGGCTGTGAACTAGTAAATAAATGCTCTCTTTTAAATGTACTTACACTGACTTTTGACTATTTTCTACGCTTAAACAATTAGGAACTTTGAAACTGTGCTTATATTTATATTTATTTCTCCATTTGTTGATCATCATCATAGATTGTCGCGGATCTCCGGTCTCTACCGACATAATTTCGGGTTCCAATATACTCTTTATTTCATTGAAATTGTCCTGAATATAGTCGTACAGAAATTGTCGCACTTTATGTGGCTGCTCGAACAACACCGCCTTCAGCAACAAGTTGATGAACTTCTTTATTTCTGGATGTTTCGTTAGATACCTATAAAAATCAGTATACTGCTCAACTTTCATTTAATTAAAATCGGTCACGAAGTGAAGAAACTGTTGCCATAACAACGAGTAAACAAACATCTGAATCCTAGGGTGAGGAAATGCATTGTTGCCATGTTATTATAGATGATACATTTCAAGGTGTTTCCATTCTTCAAAAAAATGGTTAAAATCCGCTAGGTTTGACACAAAAATTACAGTTCATTCTTAACCTATCAGAAATGCAATCGGGCAATCATAGTTTAATTTAGTTATTATCAAATGAAAAATACAACTGGAATCTAATTGTAGAGGAGATTCCTGCTTTAAAAAAATGTATTCCTACGGAAATGTTGGATAGACTAAATTTCTAATCAAATGACCGAATGAAACCCTTTCTCTGTGAGTGTTTCGGTGTCTCAAATTATGATACAATAATTTTAATATTAAGAAAAATAGTAAACTGTACCATCTTCTTGTTTTATTTCTCCCTTTTTTGCTCTCTGCGTTTGATCTACCATCTCTAACTCTATATCTTTGTAACTCTGGCGCTTGTTTTTGATCTCCTCTTGTCCTACTAGCTTCCCGTGGGGTGGTACAAAATGAATCAAATACATTTGATTGAATACATCTTATCGAAAACATTTAATCAAATATCGATGAAAGGAACATGCTCATCTATACAGATAGTAGATAAGCACTACTTACCATGGACAGACCACGAATTTACTCAGGATTAGTACTTTGGCCAAAGTATCCATCAATAATGTGGTCACCTTAAGATAGATCAAAGGTCACACCACATCGAAAGGTAACCCTCTTGCTGATTTACTAGCCAAGAAGGCAGCCAACCAAATACTTTTTGTACCTGGCCCTTCTATTAAACTGTCAACATCGGTAGTTATAGACCTAATTAAAGAACATTCCCTTGTTGAATTCAAGGAAAGAAGGGAAAAAACAAGAAATTGTAGAGTTGCCAGGGATCTTTTAAGTTATCCTGACAAGACTACAGCAAACAAATAATAGACCTTTTCATCACAATTTTTTTTTTATGTGCATGCGTCAGTATAAGCCATATTTTTCGTACTTTTTTTTGTAAACAAGCATGTTAAAATGCCCACGTGAAAAAAATATAATTGATAAATATTAATTTAAGTACATATATTCATTTAAAAAAAAAGAAAAAATAATTGAAAAATAAATTTTTGTTATCTGTACGGAAAGGAACAACAAAACTGTGTTGTTATGGAGTATGTTAAAATGACACATAGTATAAATTATTCAAAGGTAATACATATTTTTTATAAATTTTTCAATATCGTAAAAAAATAATTAAATCAGGCAAAATGCATATTAAAATATGTTCAAAATGGGCGAAAAGTGATTTTTGCAAGTACAATTATTTGTTTTTATTTTTTTACACAGTAAACAAGTATTGATACCTAACCTCTCAATCAGCACACTTTTTTCCTTTTTGCGAATGTCCATGACACTTCAAGTACCTTTTCAATTGCTCACAACTATGATCTTCCACATAGTTACAAAAAACTGAATCACCATCAACGATTTTTTCTAATGATTGATTTTCTCTGTAGAGATAATATTGCTTTTCCAGTTAATATTGAATTAACGCTATTTCAACATGGCAGCTGCGCTTGCGCTCACACATGATGAAAAGGCCTATCCTGACTGGTCATTGGTGATGTGATCATTCGAATGGTAAATAATTCGAATATTCGATTATTACCATCATTCGAATTAATTCGATTATATCATTCGAATCATATGAAATGTATGAAATTGTAATAAATGAACGACAGTCACTTGGGGACCTATTTTATAATTATGGCAGTACTCATTTCTCTCAAGATTTTCATGAGAAATGTCATACGTCAACGTGGAAATAGTATTTTTAAAGCCAGTGAGAAGTAACTGCTTCTGTCAGTTTTTTCGGGAGAATTAATATTCTCCTAAGAATTTTAATCCTCACTGCCTTTAAAAATACTGTTATCACGCTGATATATGATATTTCTCATGAAAATTTTGAAATAAATCATTTCTTTAGAGTTTGAAAATAGGTTCCCAGGTGACTTGTTGAAATATGGAGTGTAATAGGCACCTATTTTCCCTAAGTAGGATACACATGCAACGTTTTTGCGTCTTCTTTTTTAGGGTATTGCGTTCTAATTGGCTAGATCTATCAAGTCGGGGAACCACATGAAGCTGAAACTAGCAGCCAGAGTTAGCAGCCTGTGTGAAAAAATGCATACAAGTCAGATATCACAAAATAAAGCAATATTACTACTTAATTTGTCTTATTATAATAATATTAGTAATGATAACAATAATAATAATGATAATACCAAAGTGAGGATATCCGTATTTGGAAAAAAAATATCAGTAAAAATGTTATGAATATAGGTACTTTAAAAAAAACTTTAAATATATATTCAAATTTTTCTTAACGAAAAATGATCGGCGCTGGATTAAATCATACATAAATAGACTCTTCAAGTAATAGGGTACAAGAACACATCAATCAAAAAAACAATATCGAGTGCTGGATTGTTGAAGTTATTATATTTGTATGCTAGAGTAATACCTAACACAAAAACCATATTGTTTTTTTAATGAAAACATAACGGCGCTGGGTTCTATCGTACATAAATGGAATCCTCAACCAATATGCTGTAAGAATCAGTTAATCAAAAGTACATTATCAAGTGTTAGAACGATGAAAATATCAAAAAACATTCAGGCTCGAGACACATTTCCAATAAAAATGTGATTTCTCTTAACGAAAAACTATCGGCGCTGGGTTATATGATATATCAGTGGATTACTCAAGCAATAGGCTACGAGAATACATCAATATAAAATACAATATCGAGTGCTAGAACGTTAAAAATAACAAAAATTAGTTGGGCTAGAGAAATATTTTTCGTAAAAATATGATTTTTCTTTTAGAAAAATTAACGGCGCTGGGTTCTATCGTACATAAATGAAATCCTCAACCAATATGCTATAAGAATCCGTTAATCAAAAGTACATTATCGAGTGCTAGAAAGTTGAAAATATCAAAAAACCTCAGGCTCGAAATACATTTCCAATAAACATGTGATTTCTCTTAACGAAAAACTATCGGCGCTGGGTTATATGATATATCAGTGGATTACTCAAGCAATAGGCTACGAGAATACATCAATATAAAATACAATATCGAGTGCTAGAACGTTAAAAATAACAAAAATTAGTTAGGCTAGAGAAATATTTCTCGTAAAAATATGATTTTTCTTTAAGAAAAATTAAAGGCGCTGGGTTTCATCGTACATAAATGGAATCCTCAACCAATATCCTATAAGAATCAGTTAATCAAAAGTACATTATCGAGTGCTAGAACGTTGAAAATATCAAAAAACATTCAGGCTCGAGACATTTCCAATAAAAATGTGATTTTTTTTAACGAAAAACTATCGGCGCTGGGTTATATAATATATCAGTGGATTACTCAAGCAATAGGCTACGAGAATACGTCAATATAAAATACAATATCGAGTGCTAGAACGTTGAAAATAACAAAAATTAGTTAGGATAGAGAAATTTTTCTCGTAAAAATATGATTTTTCTTTTTTATTTTGTGATATCTAACGTATATGCATTTTCTCACACAGGCTGCTAACTCTGGCTGCTAGTTTCAACTTCATGGGGAACCACCCAACCACTTCAATCAGTACGCCAGTGCCTTAAGCAAAACGGTTGTATGATAAATAGCAGTATATATTGACGTATGAAGTTTTAGACTTGGTGTACTGGGTTCTGATTGGATAGTTAAGTATCAATATATTAACTTTTGACGCTTTGATCTTGACCTACCCAATAATTATTGATAATGGCATTTAATAAATCATTCGAATGATTTGATTCGAATACTCGATAAATTCGATTTTTAATCATCCGAGTATTCGATTATGACGATCATTCGATTATGTCCTTCACTACTGGTCATTGCCAAGTACGGGAGCATCTCCATATAGGTCGCAGTGTATTAAAACCCCATTCTTCTCAACATAACTGTCAAAGAAATTAAATATTAAGAAAAACTGTATCAAAATCTCGGTAGGTATATGTAAATACATGTTTCGTGCGAATTAAACACAATTCTTTAATCTCAATGATGATAATTAATTGTTTAGCTTTTATTTTTTGATTTATGACCTAGGTCTATGTACTTAATATGCCAATCTCAGTTTGTGTTTAAATTCTTATTCATGTGTGTTATATGTAGTGTTTGTTACGGTTTTCCAGCGCTACTTCAGGAACAGAACTGTTAATTAGAACGCAACAGTGAAAATTCCTGCCACCGGTGGGATTTGATCCTGAGACCTTTCGATCTCAAAGTCATGACTCTAACCATTGAGCCAACTCATCCATTGAGCCAACTCATCCCCCTTGTTGAGCTTTAATAGCTATTAATGTAACCAGATACCAAATGGGCATTTGAGTCAACCAAGACATACTAATTGCTAAACCAAAGGGATATGAGTTCAAAACTTTCATATTAAATTGGATTGATAGTTATTTGATTTGCGAAATTATAGTTTCATCAGTTGTATCGCAGGAACCACCTTTGGGCCCGTTGCTATTTAATTTATTTATTCATGATATCTTTAGTGTCATAACTATCAGTAAATAAAGTTTGCTGATGATGTAAAGATATTTAGAGCAGTTTCCAGTAAAATAGATGCTGTTTGGAGTTAGATAGATTGATGTGATGTAGAATCAGAATTACCTTTCCTATTGCTACCGAATTAATTGTTGTAATCTGCAAACTAACGACAATATTCACAATTTTGGAGTTATTAGAGATATATTGCAAGTTCACGTAAGGTCAGTCACTATAAGAGCTGATCGTTTACACTTTATTAAAGTTTGTACCTGACCTTAATTGTCGATGTTTGTTTAAGGGCAGCAGATAGACTTTATAGCTTTCGGGTGCGCTCGCCGACATTCGTAACAGTTCGAAGTTTTTAATATTAAATATCATAGTCATCGAAACCTTCTAAAATAGTAATTTATAATTTATCTTCAATATTATGTACAATTATAGACAACAAAAAAGATGACCTGTAATTTAATAGTTTTAAAATAAGGTTAGAAACTTCAGGTTTGCAATAAATTTTATTTTAGAATGGTATTTATTTGCCTCTAATTACGTTGTCACTATTAGTGGCTGACGTTATAGAAATTTGCAATATATCTCTATTATAGATTAGTAGTAAGCTTCCTACAACACTCACATTATTCAAATAACCTTTGATGCAATTATATTTAAAATGTTGGGATTTACTCAGAGGAGCATTCGGCAATTTAATTTGTGTTTTTTATATAAAATTTTAAATTGCTTATCCAATTCTCAACTATTATATATAGTACTGCAATACCTTCCTTAGAGAAGGTAGGTTTAAGAAGGATTGTGAATAATAGTTCATCAAGGAAGCTCTAAGGACAAGTTTGGGGATTGTTTGAGAATTCTACTAATTAAACATACCTATAATTTTCTCGAATTTGGTCTACTTTGTATCCGGTTAACAGTTCTTCCTGTTTCTCTGTCAAGATGAATCCAAAGGGTGATTCAACTTGGGGAATAGCCTCAGACATGTCTTATTCTAGATTTATTTATTCTTCTTAGAGCTAACTGTGTGGGTCTTCTAAATATAATAAATGTATATCTGCGCTTTTTTTTATAAATACACAAAAGGAAAATATTAAATTTGTCAATAAATTGACAACAGGTTTTAAGAACTGACTTCGTCAAACATGTAGACTGTCATTTTCAGAATCCTTATACAGGGTAGAATCCTGACATCAAAATATGACGACTGATTAAATATGACCTTAGTAAAATTTTGAAACACAATTTATTAATTATTTTAAAATATTACAGTACCGGCTTTACTAATATTGTTGAAATTTTTGTAATTGAGGTTTTTCGAGGTTCCATATTTCACCATAATATTATTTTTGGCTTACTCCATACTTATATGCTAACGGAGATGACTATTTGGGTATAACATTTTTATGTTAGTATATTCGACTGACCATGCTCTATCACAGAGAGCTCTTGTTAATTGATGACATGAAATCCTAAAGATCGTAGTTTCCGAGATACAGGATGTTAAAAATGTTAAATCAAAATTCAAAATTTACCATAAAACAAAAACGTCTTTAAATATTTTTTCAAATTTGATCTACCAAGATCTTGTCAAAAACACAAACTATAAAAAAAAGTACACGTGCTTACTAGATTAGAATTTAGAAGAAGAGTCCTTACAAGTGATTAAGAACATGTAGAACACTGTTCATTTTAGCTCCATAAAAAGTTCACTTTTTCTTTACTAAAATTGAACAGAGAATTTAAAAAAATAAAAAATAATTCAAAAGGAAAGACTTGTATTTCGTGCAAAACTTTTTAATTAATAAATGCAAAGCGCTTTTGGCTTATTTGCCATCATCAGTGCTTATCTACAAAAATTGTGGATGTAAACTTACAATTTAAAAAAATGTATTATAAAATCTGAATAAGACTTTTAAGTCAAAAGTTAAAATTGTACATATACGATTGTTTGGACAAATTAACAATTACAAGAAACAAACAAAGTGACAAAAAACTGGTATTGGGAATAGTGAGTGTGGGATAAGCCCTTACAAATCATATCTGATCTCCAGAAGCAAGTTAGCTTGTGTGGAATTAAGGAATTATGCCACCTTCACCATTCACACAATTGAAAACAAGTTAACAAATTGGTTAAAATTTAAAGAAATTTACAAATAGACTGTGGAAGATATATTGAAATTTGAATCTAGAATACAATAGTTAATATAAAGAAAGTTAAACGCAGAAGGCCAAAGTAAAAAAAAACTGAAGGTTTTTTTTATTTTATATACATTATAATTATAAAAAAGTCTACCTACTGTCTACAACGTATCCAACAAGTTCCTGGTCATCCTCATTCCCAAAATTAGATATTTCGGGATATTTACAACTTGCTAAATCATAATCTTAGTATTATTAATATTTTCAAATTTAAATTTATCTATTCATTTTTATTCAAGTTGTTTAACCGTTTCCACATGACAGTGGTGACAAGAGACACTTGAAGACGTTGACTTGTCAAATGTCAAGAGAAGGAGGTGCGTTCACCTCAGTGTGGAACATGTTTCTCCGAGTGTGATTCGAGTGACTGGAGGTGGTTAACGGAGATCAAAATTTGTTAGTATTGAATTTAAAGATTTGATTTATTGTTAGTTAAATTTAAATAAATGTTTAATATAAATGATATTATTTTGATGTCAAGACAAAACAAAAATGTCACTCGCGTGATTCTGATGTGCCAGCACGGGCTCTCTTTCAGAGAACCCAAGATGGCACAACTGAACCCGCGGTCCCTAAAGGTGAATCTTTAGGGACCGCGGGTAGTTTCATGTAATATTCTTTACATAAAAATCAATGTCAAGCTTTCTACATTTAAAAATAATCTCAAAATATGAAGAAAAGTCAGTTGACTAACTAATAATGTTTATAGATGGTTTTCAACGTATTAACAAACAAAACAAATATTACAATAACTAAAATATTCATTTATTCATTCATTAATAGTTGTAGTGCTTGAAAACAGTATGATATTGATAATAATAACAACACTTGTACAAGGTTTTGAACCGGACATGATAAATGATAAAATTATTGGAAAAAGTGAACACCCATTTTAACGAGGCGCCACTGTGAATGACTTATTACACATATTCTACTAAAATAAGGTGGATAATTTAAAATAACAACTCCTATTCATTATTTGCTCACTGACGTCTAACACATCCATAGAGGAATAGTCTTTTCATTTTTTATCTATAAACGAAGATATTGTAGGTTTTTTGGTCTGCACACAAATAAGCTTTTGAATATACAATATAGCCAGCAATTATGTCACAATATATTTTGCGTGAGGTTTGGTAAATAATTATTATGATCGTACTCAGTATCGTCTAACACACTAGCGTAACTTTCTGAGGTAAGAACTCTATAGCCTCTTGAAGATTCGTTGATTTGACAAACGGGACATTTAAAAATTCAAAGCTGTTCTAGAGGAATACAATTTCCACGAAAACTTTTACATGTACCTACTACTTGTAAGCCTAGGAAAACTAATTTCTCTCAAGATTTTCGTCATATGTCAAAGTGAAAACAGTATTTTTAAAGGCATTGAAATAAACCAAGAGAAACAGTGAGTAAGTTCTCACTGGCTTTAAAAATATTGTTTTTACGATGACGTATGACATTTCTCATGAAAATCTTGAGAGAAATCACTTTCTCTCGAGTTTGAAAATAGTCCCCCCTCCAGAAATTGCCGGGCGATGAAGTTATTGTTGTGGCCTTCATGTGAGCGAATACATTCAAAGAACAACTTTATGTGGTCTTGAGATATTTGGCATATTGATAAAAACTGTAAATGTCAGTGGGTGTTTAAAATGCCACCTACGTATGTTTATAAGGCACTAAAACTGAAGTAAATTTCGAGAAGATATTAAAGAGTTTATTTATCATTCGTTTAAATCCAATTTGTTGCACCACCTTCAGCAAATTTTCTTATTTTTAATTCATTTTTACAAATCCCTAATGCGGTTGCAAAATTCTCATTCAAAGCACACTTTTATTAATATCTCAATACTCTGTAGAAGTGGCATCTGTTTTTTGCTTGCTATTTGTAGTTATAAGTTTTTTTTGTTAATTCCAAAATAAAAAAATCGACGTCACTCTCTCTCTTTCTTTGAACATACAAAAATTACCGTTTTCCAATTCGCCGTTTGACCCTGACCCTTGAACGTTTTCTTTCTCTCTTTTATCCATCTTCGCTAACCTTCTGGAAAATGTGGCTAATTTTTTGGAGAACGAAACCCCATTATTTGTACTTTCGCATTCCTGCGGTGAACACTCAAAGAATATTAAGGCGACCGATTCAAAAAATGATGCTTTAGTGGTTTGCTATTTAAATAATAAGGTGGGTCGATCACTACAGTAAGATTGATATAGAGGTAAATCTTGCAAGTAATGTATATATTATAAAAAAACATGTGCAAAGTTAAACTACTTCATCATCTAGAAGAAGTAGAATGGATGATGAAACATATATAGGAAACAAATAACTGTATAATTTTTTTTTTCAAAATAACAACTGAAGGGTATAGGAAGTAAAAAGATGAATTTCACAAAAAGTATCAATTGGATTGCCAGCGGTGTAAGTAAAAATCATTTTTAAGGTCTATCCATGTTGATATTGTATAAAATTAAGTGGAAAAAAGCTAAAAAATTATCCAAGTGTAATTGGTAACTGGAATCTTTATTAATAACATTATTATGATTGGAAATCAAACATCAACAACATTTTGACTATAAAGGTAATATCACTTGCGCTAAAAGTTACATTTTTAAAGGCCTTTAAATTTTAAAGGATATTTTACAGAATAGACCTCTTGATCTTTAAAATGTTTTGACCTGTCCTAAAGCAAAGGTTTCTCAATTCTTTTATAATCTGCTCATCTCTCAGTTGGTCGTATTTGTTTGTATAGTAAAGTTACGTCGCGTCAGTAGAAATTATAAAAGATTATTTAACAATAGGTTTTAAGACGTCGCATGAATCTGAAGAGTTTACTGTTGCCAATTTAAAACGCTCTACAAGAAACAAATCAGAAATTAGTCACAAAATGTTCCCCGATCCCACATTGTCACAAGTGCAACCCGAAATTGCCACCGACCCTGATATTAAACTGGATGGCTGGCTATATGACATAAACCCTACTCCTAATTTATAAGCCGACATGAGGGAAAAAAACGGTCCGTGCGCATTTGTGCGCATGACAATTTGGACGCCAGACTGTCAATTTCGAGCCTTCTACGTCACGTTTCCCACGGGCGTACTACACGATAAGTTATATTATTTTTTATTAATAACGCGCTATTTTAATAATAATATTTTTTGGAACATTTGTTTCAGCTGCGTATTAATCAAAAATCATTTTTAAGTGATTTTCTTAACTTAAAAGGTATCGTATTTGAATGTAATAAATGTTAAATTTAATTTTGATGTTCCTTTTTAGTGCATTTTGATACGCACGTGTGGGCGCCAGAGTGTCAATTATCACCTCGCTATGTGGCTTGATTTTGTTGATCGGCTTTGTTTTTCCAGTTTAAGATATAGTTCAGCTGCGTTCCCAAACGAAAAAAAAAAACAGAAGAAAAACGAATGGGAAGGAAGTTTACAAAACAAAAGACAAATAAATTAATCAATTTTTGTTTTCTAAAGGTTTACTTAATTTTCAGAAAGTTTGTTTTAATTGTTTTTCTTAATAGAAATAACATTGTTATGCTATATTTTATTTGTTTAATAAACCAATAAGGTCCTATGTAAACCACTATGTATTGTAACCGCCCACCCCTCGGTCTTGTAGCTAATTATTACACACACACAGTAATTGAGCCCAAGTCGGGAAGGTTCCCATCCTGTTATACTAGATCGGAATCCTCCTGACGACCACCTCCCCACCTGACTGCTTGATTTCAGGTGGCCTCAATTTACATCTTTTTATAAGTATGCCATTCCTTCTGAAAGGGCTGTGAAGGATGACATATTATCAGCAATTTGGACAGGGTTTGCTGATGGCATTTCCCTGTTTTGTCGTCCGTTTATTCGTCATGTGTGTGCCGTTCTGTGAATGTCTCCACCTGTGAAAGCTCCCCCAGACTCCTACTTGGCGACTGGGGGGACCTTCGTCCCCA